GAGATACCTACCATACTACATAATCTATTGCCCAAATTAGGACACTTTTTGTAAATAATAGGAAGCTATTAATTTGTAGATTGGGAAAGCAAGTATGAAAGGAGACTGTTCAAGGCTAATCAGATGTGTGGTCATCCTACAATTAACACTTTATTTCCTACTTTACTTCTTTGGTGTTCCACCTTGCTGAGCAGTGGGTTCCTAGCTGGAAGGAATCAGATTTCTCTCTTTGGTGTCTGGATGCTTGTGCCTGGCACAGAGCCTAGCATGTAAGCAGATACTCAGTTGAAGTTTGCTGAACATATGCATGATTAGACAGATGAATTAGTGAACTAATTAAATTGTCACTAATACTTTGAGAATAGTTTTTATTAAAATGAGAGTTTGCAGATAACATTGTGAAGACTGATTTCCCTTAACATGGCTAATCATGTTGTACTCTGTTTTGTGTTGCTATAACAGAATACTAAAGAGTAGGTAATTTATAAAGGAAATAGATTGGTTCTTATATTTCTGGAGGCTAGGAAATCCAAGGTCAAGGATGTTATATCTGGCAAAGGTCTTCTTGCTGTGTCAGCATGATGGACAACATCACCTGGCAAAGGAATGAGGGAATGTACCAGCCCAGGTGTCTCTTCCTCTTCCTCTTTTTTTTTTTTTTAAGATATTTATTTATTTGAAAGGCAGAAAAAGAAGGAGAGAGAGAGAGAGAGAGAGAGTGAGAGAGAATCTTCCAACCATTGGTTCACTCCTCAAATGACTGTAACAACCAGATCTGGGCCAGGCAGTATATCCTGTTCTCCAACATGGGTGGCAATGTCTTAAATCCTCATACCATCACCATCACCTGCCGATTTCTAGGCACATTAGTAAAAGCTTGATATGAAGCAGAGCAGTCAGGACTGGAGCCAGTACTCTGATGTGGGATGCCAATATTCAAAGCCAAAGTGACAGCTTCCCCTGCTGTGCCATACAACACTGCCCCTCATCCATTTTTTTGTAATTAGATTTTCTTTTTGAAGGGCAGTGAGACAGCCATACAGATAGTTTCCGTCTGCTGGTTCACTCTCCAAATGCCTACAATAGCCAGGGTTGGGCTGGGCCAAATCTAGGAGTCTAGAACTCAAGCCAAGTTTCTTATAAGAGTGTCAGGGAGCTGGCACCGTGGCTCAATAGGCTAATCCTCTACCTTGCAGTGCCGGCACACCAGGTTCTAGTCCCGGTCGGGACGCCAGATTCTGTCCCAGTTGCCCCTCTTCCAGGCCAGCTCTCTGCTGTGGCCCAGGAGTGCAGTGGAGGATGGCCCAAGTTCTTGGGCCCTGCACCCCATGGGAGACCAGGATAAGTACCTGGCTCCTGCCATCGGATTAGCGCGGTATGCCGGTGCAGTGCGCCGGCCGCGGCAGTCATTGGAGGGTGAACCAACGGCAAAAAGAAGACCTTTCTCTCTGTCTCTCTCTCTCACTGTCCACTCTGCCTGTCAAAAAATAAAAATAAATAAATAATAATAATAATAATAATAAAGAGTGTCAGGGACTCAATCATCTGCTGCCTCCCAAGAAGCAGGGCCAGAACTCAAACACAAATAATCAGATGTGAGATATAAGCATCCCAGGAAGCATCTTTCTCTTCTTACAGAATAACACCCTTCAATTTTTTAATTTTTATTTTTTATTTTTATTTGAAAAGGAGAGAGAGAGAGAGATCCTCCATTAGCTGTAAAACTCAAATGTCCACAACAGCAGAGGCTGGGCTAGGCTAAAGCCAGGAGTACAGAATTCAACTGGGGTCTCCCAGGGGGTCTCCCATATGATTATCAAGGACCAATAACCTGAATCATCATCTATGCTACTGCCTTTCAGTATATACATTAGCAAGAATCTGTACTGGAAGCAAAGTAGCTGGGACTCAAACCAGGCATTCACAATGTTTAACAGTTTAACCACTGTCCCAAAGGCCCACCATACCAACCAGCATCTTAACTACTATGCAAAATGCCCACTAAGTATGATGTTTTCCAGATTCATCCATTTTATTGTAAATGACTGGATTTCTAGTCTCAGTACCCAGGAGTAATCAATTTTTAATATTCTTTATGCTTGGTCAATTTATTTCATCATATGAGCAAAGTTGCCATGTTTTTCTTTATTTTCAAAAAATATATGACACAATTTGGCTTTTATTTCTTCTTAAATACTTAATCTTTTAAGGTTAAAAATTCATGACTTTCCCTATTTCATCTTAATTCACATTCTTTAATCTTTGAGGAAACATGTGTTTCAAGTCCCTTGCCCACAGAGGATTTTAAAAAATGTTTCCTAAGAGCTACTGATATTTCAGGAGATTTATTAATTTTAGTCATCTTTTTGTATGAAACACGTCTACCTTTTAAAAACTGTTATATAAACCTGTGTTCCATTGCTGATACTTAAGGTAATTGTGCTTATAAAGGCTCTCACAATGCTAAAAAAAAAAATATGTACTTAATACAGATAACTTCATTGAGCTATAATAAAAATAAATAAAAACAAACAACAAATGCTGGTGAGCATGTGGGGAAAAAGGTACCCTAAACCACTGTTGGTGGGAATGTAAACTGGTAAAGCCACTATTGAAGATAGCATGGAGATACCTCAGAAGTCTGATTATAGACCTACCATAAGACCCAGCCATCCCACTCCTCAGAATTTACCAAAGGGAAATTAAATCAGCATATGAAAGAGTTATCTGTACCCCCATGTTTGTTGCAGCTCAATTAACAATAACTAAGACATGGAATCAACCCAGATGCTCATCAACTGAAGACTGGATAAAGAAATTATGGGATATGTAGGCCAGTGCCACGGTTCAATAGGCTAATCCTCCACCTGCGGTGCCGGCACCTCAGGTTCTAGTCCCGGTCGGGGCGCTGGATTCTGTCCTGGTTGCTCCTCTTCCAGGCCAGCTCTCTGCTGTGGCCAGGGAGTACAGTGGAGGATGGCCCAAGTGCTTGGGCCCTGCACCCCATGGGAGACCAGGAGAAGCACCTGGCTCCTGGCTTCAGATCAGCGCAGTGCACCAGCTGCAGTGCGCCAGCTGTGGCGGCCATTGGAGGGTGAACCAACGGCAAAAGGAAGACCTTTCTCTCTGTCTCTCTCTCACTGTCCACTCCGCCTGGCAAAAAAAGAAAAAAGAAAAAAAAAAGAAAAAAGAAAGAAATTATGGGATATGTAAACCATGGAATAATACACAGCAGTAAAAAATGAAATCCAGTCATTTGCAAAAACATCAATGAATCTGGAAAACATTATAATTAGTGAAAGAAGCTAGTCCTAAAGGGACAAATACCACATGTTCTCCCTGATCTGTGAGAAGTAATAAAGCACCTAAAAGACAATCTGTAGAAGTGAAATTGACACTTTGAGAAACAATGAGTTGAACAGCCCTTGTCTTGACCATTGCAGAACAGTTTTTGGATTTTTTTTATACTATTTGTTGAACTCTTTACTTACCATAGAGTTAAACATATGAGTATAAAGTAAATTGAAAATAGGTTTCAGTAAAAATATGAGCGAGAATAAGAGAGGGAGGCGATGAGGGATGGGAGAATGGGCAGGCATGGTGGGAAAAATCACCATGTTCCTAAAGTTGTAATTATGAAATGTATGAAGTCTGTAACTGTAAAGCTGTGTATTTCTGCATATATTCCTATGGACTTACTTCTAAGGGTATAGTTTAAAATCTTGCCATAGGACCCCAAATCCCCTTAAGCTGGGTGGTAAAAATACCATCTTAAGTATTAAAGTGATCATATAAATAGGATTAAGTGTCTGATAATAATAGATAGAATTAAAAAGGAGTGAATGCTCTAACATGGAAAGTAGTCCACACAGCAGACTCATAGAATGACAATCACTTTAAGTAGCACTCTGACCTTAGAATCAGTTCTTAAGGCATTCTGTTCTGGCTGAAAAGCCTCTGAGAGCATTTCAGCATGGAAAGCCAAGACACTGTGGCAAAAAGTGTTCTACATGAGGGATCTCAGTGGGTGAGACCCCAGTGGAAAGAAGTGGTCATCTATCAAGGAAGTATTTTTCTCTGAACTTCCACTTTGCTTATGGCCTTTTCTAAAGACTGTTGGAGTTTGTGGATTCAAAAGGCCTCCATAGCCTAGGCAGCTCATGTCAAGAGTCTTGGGTGATCCCTGACATCATATGTAAGAATGTTAATTGTTAAATTAACAGCAGGAGTCACTATGCACTAACTTCCCATGCAGGGCATCTGTCTTCAAAGTTGTATTATAATTATGTCTAAATGCTCACAAAACATGTATCATCCCTAGGTGCTTCTTTAAGTTAATTAAGTTTTCAACAAAGAAAAAATAAGTGAAATTAACTTCAAGATGCAATGACTTTGAACAGCCCATGTCTCAACTGTTTAGGAACAATTAGGTGTGTGCTTTTTTGCGTGTGTGCAAATTGTTGAATTTTACTTAGTATAGAGTTGGTCTTCTGTGTGTAAAGTTAATTGAAACTGGATCTTAGTGGAAGGTGGGACTGGGAATGGGAGAGGGAGGATGAGGAAGGTTGGATAAGGAAGGATGAGGGTGGGAGGGCAGCTATGATGGAAAGAATTTCTAAAGGTGTACTTATGAAATGCATAAAGTTTGTATCCATTAAATAAAAGATTTCTTTGGGGAAAAAAAGAAAGAGAGAGAGAGAGAGAGAGAGAGAGAAAGAGAGAAAGAGAGAAAGAGGAAGGAAGGAAGGAAGGAAGGAAGGAAGGAAGGAAGGAAGGAAGGAAGGAAGGAAGGGGAGAGAGAAAGAAAAGGGTCATAAGGGCTTCCTTAGTATTGTATATTGAAAATCTCATTTTTGAAAGCAAATGTACTTATGAAGTATAGTTAAAACAACAACAAAAAAATGGGCCAGCATGTGGCATGGTGGGCAAACCTCCACCTGTGGCACAGGAATCCCACACAGGTGCCAGTTGAAGTCTAAGTTGCTCCTCTTCTGATCCAGCTCTCTGCCATGGCCTGGGAAAGCAGTGGAAGATGGCCCAAGTGCTTGGACTCTGCATCTGCATGGGACACCCTGAAGAAGCTCCTGGCTCCTGGCTTTGGATTGGCACAGCTCTGGCCATTGCGACCATTTGGGAGGTGAACCAGTGGATGGAAGACCTTTCTCTCTGTAACTCTACCTCTCAAATAAATAAATAAGAATCTTTAAAAAAGATTGTCTTTAAAAAAGATGTGTCTTCATTATTTAACTGCTTTGGTAAAGGATGATATGGTTTTTCAGTATTTATGACCATATACTCAGAAATGAAAGATAATCTGAGAAATCAATATGACAAAACATCAACTTACCTATGAGTAGATCTCAGCCATTTAGACTATAAACTCTAGGAGATGGGGCTATGCCTCACTGATCCTGCATATCTGCATGTGACCTTCATGGTGGCTTGCATAACCTTGGTGTAAGTTTCTGACACATAAGAGTTTTGTTACCTTCTATTCTGTCAAACACATTCTGAGATACTCATCAATAATATCAGAAGAAAAAAAAACCTTCAAAGATAAAGGAGAAGAAAAGAGTTGGGAAGGGGACAGATCACTAACATGATCAGTATCCATATCAACCAACCCAGGACGCAGTCTGGGTTTTCTACCTGTGCTAGAGATGGTCTGCCTCCCAGCAGAAGGCAAGGACCTGCAAAAGCAAGAGGAATCTTGCATGCGTGCTCACTCAAAGTCTGGGTAGCCCCAGAGCAGGGGTATGTGGCAGCTTGTGCCTCTAGGAGAGGAATCAGGGCCCTTATACAGACAATGAAATTGGCAGGAACGAATCTCCCCTGATGACTTCATAAACTCGGAACGAGCCAGAGAAGGTTCTTCTCTCCAGTTTATTCAAACCCTCTCAAAGGGAGACTCCATGAGTGACATCCTGATTTCTTTTTCCTCCCCAAATGTTGTTTTGTTCATGACTTATGCTAAGAAAATAATTCAGTAGATAAAAAAAATGTATTATTCACTCTCAGAAGAAAACTGCTGCTTACATAAAAAAAAAAAAAGCCTCGTTCCAGTAAGAAGTTTACAGAATTTACTTCATATCAAAGCAAGTCTTGATTATAAGAAATTTGAGATCTTGCCAACTTACTGGATTCCTGATAATTTTGATATAGTATGTATCTTTTTTACACTTTACATTTGGGAAGTTGTTGAGGGATAATTTGGCAGAGTCTCTGTTTTCTTTAAAAATTCAGAAAAATGAAATGTTCTACATTTCTTTTATATTATTATTCGGGGGGTTTATTTGTTGACAAAATTTTATCCACACTATTGTCTGAATTCTAAAAAGATCCAAATGACTACAGAAAAATTTATTAGAAAAACCCTGCTTTGCTCTTTTTCCTTATGGACAATTCCTAAGTTTTTTTTTTTTTTTAATAATTCCTATTTAAAGTACCTACTCTATTTTTCATGGCCCATTACCAATATCCAAGATAGTGTCCAATTTTTAAATTCTGAAGTCTGCCTTGTATGACTTCCAAACTAAACGAAATGAAAATACCTCAGACAGTCTATGTTTACACACAGTGGCAAAATTAACCTCAAGTTACACAGATCACTGCACTGGGGACACTTCTGAGTTTCTACTTATGCTCCTTCTGGGCGTACTACACATGCCCCATGCAAAGGCTTCCATGTCTTTTACTCCAGAAAAAACAGGGTTTCTGAAAATTTGATCTGAACAAACCACAGTGTTGCAGATACAAAGGTGAATTAAGATTCAGTCTGCAATTTGTTGATCTTGTTGGAATAGGTTCTTGAACTGTGATGCTATTGTGCCTCTAGGTGCACAAAGTTTGCCTCTATCAGTGGATTTCAAATACATGGGGTCATTAGTGTGCTTGACTTTCCACTGTGCAAGGTTCCTTTCTAATGCCGGTCGATTGTAAACAGTGTGGAGCAACGAAATACTTCAAGGACCCCCTTGAGGCACAGGCTCCTGCTTCCGAGAAACTGTTCTAGAAAGTCTAGCATGATACAACAGTAGTCCAGGTTTCATTTGGGCCATCTCTGAGAATGGAACTCCTTGTGGAGCCATCGGGAGATCTTTCAATTTCCATCCAGTTGTTGTCTAATACTCAACTATCTGCTGGGTACATAGTGAATATCCAGCAAAGGTTTTCACCACTGAATGACAGAGTTACAGCCTCTTCACTGTGCTACGGAACACTAGAAACTTACTCCTTCCGTCTAACAGGGTCTCGGTAACTTTTGTTCAGCTTGCATCCATCTTCCCTTTTCCTACACTTCCCTATCACTATTCTAAGTTCAGATTGACTGTTTTTTGTTAACTTCCACATGTGAGACAGAACATGCAGTATTTACTTTTCTGTGCCTGCGTATTTCACTTAACACTATACTTTCTAGTCCCATCCATTTCCTGACAAATAACAGTGCATAATTATGTTTTATTGCTAAATAATTTTCCAATGTGTGAATGTGTGTGCATGTGTGTATATATATATATATAAAATTTTGTTCATTCATGCATTGATGGACACCTACGATGATCCCATATTATAGCTATTGTGAATAGTGCTTCAATGAACAAGGGACTCCATGTATCTCTTTGAAATGCTGATTTTATTTTCTTTGGATATATACCCAGAATGGTATAGTTGGGTCATGTGATAGATCTGGTTTTAGTTGTTTAAGAACTCTCGGGGCTGGCGATGTGGTGCAGCGGGTTAATGCCCTGGCCTGAAGCGCCGGCATCCCATATGGATGCTGGTTCTAATCCCTGCTGCTCCTCTTCTGATCCAGCTCTCTTCTATGGCCTGGGAAAGCACTAGAAGATGGCACAAGTCCTTGGGCCCCTGCACCCGCATGAGAGAGTAGGAGGAAGCTCCTGGCTTCGGATCAGCACAGCTCCGGCCATTGCAGCCAATTGGGGAGTGAACCATCAAATGAAAGAGCTCTCTCCCTCTGCTTCTGCCACTCTGTAACTCTGCCTTTCAAATAAATAAATAAATAAATAAATCTTAAAAAAAAGAACTCTCAATAATGGCTACATTAATTTGCATTCCAAAGATTTGCATTCTCTTTCCTCCACATCTTTCCCAGCCTTTGTTATTTATTTATTTTTTTTATAAACTAAAGTGAGATGATATTTCTTTGTGGTTTTGATCTGCATTTTCTTGATAGTTGGTGATATTGGACTTTTTTTATATTTGCCGACTATTTGTATTTCTTCATTTCAGAAATCTCTAATTCTCAAAGGACCATTTGAGTGCTCAAAGGCTAATATTGAACTAAGCTGAGAGGAGTTGTAGAATTATAGGCAAACACCCAAGTTTGTCTTTGCTAAACTGTTGGCAAAGTTCTCCTGAGTCAATCCAAGACAAAAATCTGGCCTTAGGTGACCAGCAATTTTTGTCAACAGTTAGTCTTTTTCTACCCTCCCTATGCTTAAATGAACCTAAAAGGCAACAGTTAGCACAGCAAGGATCAACTACTTTGCCCTGGTGCTTATTTGTCCTGTGGGTGGATTTATTCACTTTTAATATGGTGTATTGAGTAGTCATTTAGGCTAAACTCCAGTAATTTTTTGCATAATGTAAAGGATGCCTAGATTCCAGACCAATGTCAATGTGATCCTTTACTATAGTAGGAAAATAACTTTCCAGCACACTATTTACTGACCTTCAAACAAAGGAAAATAGAGGAAATTAACATGATAAATCAAGAAAAACATATTTTCCTTAAAAATACTGCTTCAGGGGCTGGCGCTGTGTCTCATTTGGCTAATCCTCCGCCTGTGGCGCCGGCATCCCATATGGGCATCGGATTCTGTCCCGGTTGCCCTTCTTCCAGGCCAGCTCTCTGCTGTGGCCCGGGAGTGCAGCGGAGGATGGCCCAAGTCCTTGGGCCCTGCACCCGCATGGGAGACCAGGATAAGTACCTGGCTCCTGGCTTTGGATCAGCGCGATGCGCCAGCCATAGCGGCCACTTGGGGGATGAACCAACAGAAGGAAGACCTTTCTCTCTGTCTCTCTTTCTCACTGTTTATAACTCTACCTGTCAAATAAAAAAATTAATAAATAAAAAATTGTAAAAATTAAAAAATACTGCTTCAATGACTGTATATTTTTTAAATGCAAATGATCCCAAAAAATCCCAGTTTCCTACAATTCATGTACAGATACATATGTTCTCTGTGTAAAGAATTTATAGCTGGTAACATATAGAAAGTAGAGAAATTAATTTATAGCCAAATATTCTTCTGAATATAGCCAAATATAGCAAATATTTTTATGAATAAAATGGTTACATCAAATGTGTTAAGTCAAGTATAAAATTGGCATATTATACTTCAAATGAGCTAAATGAACATAACACTTCAGAATGACAAAGTTTTACTTTTTAAAAATTGTGTATTCTTCAAATTGACACTCAATTTTGGAATTCACTGCACTTTTGCAGTTTTGGGTATTAAGTGCCTTACTTTGTCGATTATAACATGGCTGAATGCTAAAATTTTGTTATTATACAATCTACTTATTTCTCTTTTTTAAAAAAATATTTGAGAGGCAAAGTTACTGACAAAGAAAGGGAGAGACGAGAGAAAGATCTTCCAACTGCTGGTACACTCCCTAAATAGCTGCAATGGTCAGAGTTGGGCCAATCGAAATCAGGAGTGAGGAGCTTCTTCTAGGTCTCCCACACAGCCAAGGGCCCAAGCACTTGGGCCATCTTCCATTGTTCTTTCAGGCCATAGCAGAGAGCTGGATCAGAAGAGGAGCAGCTGGAACTCGAATCAGCGCCCATATGGGATGCCAGCACTACAGGTGGAGGCTTAGCCCGCTATGTCACAGTGCCGAACCCAGACAATTCACTTTATTTCACACACAGTATTAAGAAAAAAGACTGAGTCAACTATTTATTATTTTTTTTTAAACTGGACTATCCCTGAACTATCTCAAGTGATATTTGCATTTCAATCATCAGATAATATCAGGTATTTATTTATTTATTTATTTAAAAGGCAGAGTTACAGACTGAGAGACAGAGAGAGAGATTGAGATCTTCCGTCCTCTGGTTCACTCTCCAAATAAATAAATAAATCTTAAAAAAAAAAAGAACTCTCAATAATGGCTACGTTAATTTGCATTCCAAAGATTTGCATTCTCTTTCCTCCACATCTTTCCCAGCCTTTGTTATTTATTTATTTTTTTTATAAACTAAAGTGAGATGATATTTCTTTGTGGTTTTGATCTGCATTGTGCAATGGCAGGGGTGGCCAGGCCAAAGTCAGGAACCAGGAGCTTCATGCAGGTGTCCCACATGGCTGCAGGGACCCAAGGACCTGGGCCATCTTCAGCTGCCTTACTAGGCACATCAGCAGATAGTTGAATG